TGCAAAATGTACTTCTTCCTTCTTGAAACGTCGTACAAGTCAGATACAAAACAAAGGTAACAAAAAACAGGCCGGAAACAACCTGCCGTATAGTTTGTCTGCACTTGTAGTCAGGTCAAGATCCTCGGCTATCGCCTCGGACCTTGACCTGACTACTCGTGCAGAAAAACAATCCGGCAACGGTTGTTACCGGCCTGTTTCTTTGTTACCTTTGTATTGTATCTAATAATTACACGGACACTTTTTAGATGATACACGGACACTTTTTAGTTGTTACACGGACACTTTTTTATGAATAGAATCACTCGTGCATGATCAGTCGGTTCATTGGCACTTTAAATTTCAATTAGATTTGAACTTTTTTTTTTTACCGACATATTTCCTGTTTTTTTTTTATTAAAATATTTTACGTTGGCATCAATAACTATATTTTTTCAAACAATTTCAGTTATATTACTATTCATGTCAGTACACTAAGGGATTGACCATTTAACTTCAAAAGGGGGGTTATGGTTTTTTCCTAAAAAAATATTCTGATCCCCAATTTTATGAGAAAAAATATATTGTGTTCAAGCAGATGACTAAATAATGTTCTGATTCCTGATTTTCTGAATACCGTATATAATAGTGCTAATTGCGAACAAAAAATATTTAGGTGATAGCGTTGAAAAACTAAATAATTTTCTTACTCAGAAAAAAACATACCCCCCTTTTGAAGCTAAATGGTCGGTCCGTAAATGTATTTTTTATTCAATATATGGACATGAATAGTATTCTGGTAAATGCTGAAAGTAAAAAAATGCTGGTACCGACGTTTATATTTCAATAAAAAAGACAGAAATATATATTAAAAAAATCAAATCTAATCAAAAGATAAATTCCCTATCAACTCACCAATGCACAATTGATCCTATAAAAAAAGTGTCCGTGTAATACATGTTCAAATAGGCAGCAAATCTTGAAGAAAATCATTCAACTTAGTATGTCACCAATTTTGGACGGTAAGCTGCGATTGGATCATATTGTGACAGTTGTTTAATCCTAATCAACACTATTAGAGACATATAAAAACATATAAGCATGAAAAATTATAAAAAAAATCCAAAATATATGCCTATATATATCTAATAACAAGACAAAATCCATTTTTTCATTACATTTCAATCACTAATGAAACAGGAAATTCATTCTTTTTATACATTTATATTGTTAATGAATTCATATATATTGAATTCATATATTTGGGAGCAAACGTACGATTTTTATTATTTTTTAAGGGGGAATGGGGAAATGGAATGGCACATCCTGCATTTTTTCAACAAAAAAAGTATCAAGCCTGTTTATTTTAAATTTATTTTAACCCCCCTCCCCTTTTCCGTTTTCCCCCAAATAAAAATCAAATGTTAGCTTTGCTTACCTCTGAAATCTTTTTCATACATTACTTACTTGCGAAGTTGCATTTTAAAAAGTCTCAAATGTGTACGACATTCATCTTTTACTTGACATGGTTCTTTTTTATAAAATTATTAGATTCTTGAATTTCTTGAGAAAAAACTCTCGGCTGATTGAAAAAAAAAGTTTGTTTAAACTGTAACTTACATTAACTGGTATATGGCCGTTTAAGTTTCTAATCTATTTAACCTGGTACCTCTCCTAAATGCAAAATGTACTACTTCTTTCTTGAAACGACGTACAAGTCAGATACAAAACAAAGGTAACAAAAAAAACCAGGCCGGAAACAAACTGCCGTATAGTTCTTCTGCACTTGTAGTCAGGTCAAGGTCCACGGCTATCGCCTCGGACCTTCACCTAACTACTCGTGCAGTAAAACTATCCGGCAACGGTTGTTACCGGCCTGTTTCTTTGTTACCTTTGTATTGTATCTAATACATAACCCCATATAGGTATATAAATATATTTCAGGAATGACTGTAATATTTTTTCTGTCTATGAAGAAATAACATCAAAAATGTGGTGCACACTGAATAACCCGCGTAGCGGGTTATTTTGAAGTGTGCACCACATTTTTTATGTTATTTCGAATAGACAGAAAAAATATTACGGTCATTTCTTATAATTTAATTCTTAATTCCATTTTAAACCGGAGTAAATCATGAAAAAACGTTGATGACGTCAAAGGTCACATGACAAAATTATGTCTATGAGCTGATAAACAAAACAACGTCAACCAATCGGAAGACGCCTTACATCCAAAATTAAATTATTTACTGATCAGCAAATGAGTTTTTCACACAGTGAAAATGGCTAGGGACCATTTTATTGAATGATCAATCCAAAAACTAGTACAGCTTTCTGATATTGATTTAAATTACTATCATTAAAATGTTGCTTTAAATTCAGGTAATAATATAAGGGGACGATTTTAATATAAAGAAGGGGTGGAAATGAATATTCTGGTCTGATTAAAACACGTACTGCTCAACAAAATGTAGGAAATAAGTGGGCAAGAAATATAATCTGGTCTATCAACAAGTGAAAATGAATATTCAGCCCAAAAAAAATCTTCCAGCGCTCTCCTCCCCTTCGCCCCCGAAAATCAAATGATCGTCCCCTAGAATACAAATCGAATAAAACAATTGATTGATGTTATTTTAAACATCGAATGACAAATATTTCATTCGGGATCAGAACGAGTATAAAATAAAGACCTACTGTCATTATACCCTCAGTGAAACTACATTTAGCGGCTATCTCAATAAAAAGTTATGGAATTAGAATTATGAAAAGCAAAGTAAACTGAATGAAAAGAGCCATAGGGAACTCATTTATAAGGATGTTGTAGTAACAAACTCAAATCAATCTGCGTTTCGTAATACAAAAAAAACACAAAAATAAAAACAGGAGTTAATATACTAAAAACATCGGCAGTAAAAAAAAACCACAAACTATTAACAGCTAACTCCGAGAAAATAGACGTACACACAGTACATGTTTTATGCGTATTTTTCTGTTTTCGGTCTTCATTTTTTGATATCATGAAGGTCTGCATGGGAGTTCCTTGATTTTTTGTATCTTTAAATTTTAAGGGTATTTTTCTTTATCATTAGAATAATGCTTATTCTGTAAAATGTTCATGCAAATGAGTTTACTATGAACTTTTTCTGTAATTAGATGATTTCTTTATTCTGTACATCGTTCTTTTATGTAATCAACATTGTATTACGTATTTTATTTTTATTTTCCACTCTTATTCTTGATACTTTTAAACCCCTTTATTCTCTATTCTTTCATTATATTTCTTTCTCATTTTTCTCAGTTCATTATTCATTTTGACCATTATTCTTTATTCTATAAACCCCGCCCAGACCCTCATATCTGCATTTGGTTGGCACAAATGAGTGAAATATGCAAGTACATTATTATTATTAATTATTATAAACAGATAAGCCTTGGTATACATGTAAAATTAACTTATAAAACTCTTCTGAATGCGTTTTTCAACTGTTGAACGTAAGTTACACAGGAAATGTATAGTTTTATAACCGATCATGTCCTTGGTTGTAATTAGTACTTTATTCATATTTTTATTACATCCTGTAAAAACAATATTGTATATATATGTGATTAATGACCGATTTTATTTTTGTTTTTGTTTTTAACTTTACGACATTGACTTATGATCTCAAATAGTAAAATTATTAGTTACTTGATTTTGTGGTAGACAAAAATTTAAATTGTAAAAGAACGATTCAGTGACCAGGGACTTTTTATACTAGCATTAGTATAGACTGTCCCTGGATTGACATATAAAAATTCTGCATCTTATTGAAAAATTATACATATGATCACATATCGGGGAATGAAATTTATATTTTAAAGAAGTTGGGTTTTTGTGTGGCTAGTGATATTTTCTTTCATTTACACAAAATTTACTCGATATAACAAAGGTATAAGAATTTAACTGCCTAGAGTAGATAAATAGAGTATCGCACGAGATATGATAGGTCAAGGATTTGTATAGTGAGACTATACAAATCCTTGGATAGGTTTCTTTATTTCTTATGCAGCCGAGAAAAATCTGCAATCTGATTGGTTAATTACCCGGGTGTAAATAACACCCCACCCTTGTTCGCCCGGGGATAAACAAAAAGCGCTTCAGGGTGTATAAATTTTCCACACCGGTGTAAAATTCTGTACACCCCTGATTACACCAAGATAACTAATATTATTTCTTATGCAGCAAAAATCCTGAAATCTGATTGGTTAATTACCCGGGTGTAAATAACACCCCACCCTTGTTCACCCGGGGATAAATAAAATGCGCCTCAGAGTGTATGAATTTTCCACACCGGTGTAAAATTCTGGACACCCCTGATTACACCAAGATAACTAATAGTATCTAATGATTTTAGATGATATATTTGAAAACGTTATATATCTTCCAGTTTTTAATGATCTGCCAAAAGATTGTTATATTTGACCTCTGACAATATGACGGATGTTTCATACGATTCAAAATATGCTTACCCTTCCGGGTTTCATTAAACCTCGGACTATTATGTCAATATATCATGTCCAGATTAAACTTTGAGATGTTTTGTATATATGATTAAAAGACGAATGTAAGAACTTTCTTTAACTTAAACTCATGTTTATTGTTAATTGTACATATGTGCCGACTATTTAGAAGATTTATTTACTTACTTACTTTAATATTATAAAACATATTGCGGCAAACGATGAGGAAGTGAAGTCAAGCGGATGCTCCTTTCAACCTCAGTTCTAACTCTTAAATAAACAAGTTCAAAGTTTTATATATCTTTATAAACTTACTTTTAAAGTCGAACATATAATGAATTTATCAATTTCTCATTTTTCATCAACTAAATAAGCAAAGAAATGGTGTCTGTCACTGCTTCAATATACATATGTATCTTTATTAATTCTTACCTGGTGGTACTCCTTTAGCGGTGGTACATAGATTTAAATCGTTCTTATAACAGCAAACTAACTTACGTTTCATTCCCCAATAGATATTTACCCTTGAGACATGCTTGTTAGCCTGGAATGTTTCTTACGTAAAACATGTTTAGAATTTCATTGAAGAACTTATTAAGTGTTGCAAAATCACAGTCTCCGCTTCATTTATCTAGCGTAAGACTGATAAATTCTTGTCGCAGCTCTATTCATCCGAATATACTTTGTGTGAATCTGAGTGCAAGGTCAAATGGACATAAACAAAATGTAAAATGTTATCTCATTCCGTTCCAGCCTTCAAGGTGTTTGAATAAAAAAGTTAGTCAAAATAAGCTAGATCAAGGTTCAAAGAAGTATCTGTGGTATCTAGTTATAAGCACATTTATTGTTGGGACCTGTATGCTGTCAACCATTGGATATTCAAAGGTGAAGAGAAGACTAAAAGGGATTGAAAATGTGACAGATGAAAATACCAGGAAAATGAAACATTTTTTCCGATACAAAGGAGTTGTTCTACCACAGTTTACTGAAAACATTGTACATAAATTTGAAAATTTCGAAGTCCGACCCGATGATGTATGGGTTGTCTCATTTCCGAGATCAGGTACTGAATTCAGTGTGGTTTTCTGTTAATTTTTAACCAGGATTTTCCCTGACACTCTGGGGAATTACTATTTTAACTGAATTGGTTAATTTCATCTGCAAAACATAATTTTTGTGACTCAATCATTCATCAAATACAAAAAATAAATGTGTTGCATCATACATGTAAACATGATAAATTATGTGATTTTCATAATGTTCATTGAAACATAACTTTGCTTTGTTAGTTTGATTATACAAGTATATGTTATATTAAATGGAAATATACATGTACAAATGTATAATAAATAACTACAAATGTATTAAAATTAATCAGCACGAGTTATGTACAAATGATGTACAAGGTTCATAATAATAAATGGACAAACATGGCTGTGTCTACACCTTGAAAATTTCTCTGAATACAATTATAAGTGTGCAATTTTTTTTAGAAATTTGAATAAAAAAAATGTAGGGTGAATCATTGTGAATACCAATGAGTCAGCAACCTGACGACATTAATGACCAAAAGACCTCTTAGTCTAGATGTCAACATACATGTACAATTAATGTGTGTACATACAGTCTTCAACAACAGACAGGGGGTCTGCTCAAACGCCAAAAGAGTTCAAAACATATGAGAATAAATTAATAGAAGCTATAAAGATTTTTCAATATATGTTTAATCAACACCAAAGTCTCCAAAATAAAAAAAGTATTTCTTGCATAGACAGAATTCTTGTCTCCATTTATTCTTATTACACACATTCACACTACCTGAAATCTACTTTATACATTGTTAAATACATGTACATGGTAATAACCACAAACACAGAGTTGTGCCTGGATGGAGGGGTCTTCATTTATCATGTTTATCAGTCAGGGGAATTACTTAAATGAGTGATTTCTTAAATCACTTATTCATGTAACATTTTGTCCAGAAATGTTGCAAGTATAAAGAGTAGTCTTTCTTCAATAATCACCTATTTAAGTACTTGTAGTACAAAGAAAAAACTAGACTAAGTGATTATATTTCATTGTAGCTTTAAATATATAATATTAATGATCCTGGGACTAATTATGATGCTAAAGTCATGAAAATCACCAGAACCATCATCTGTGTTCATAGGATGACTGGTCATGTCAGGTGATGACCCTGTACTGAATCTGGAATAATGACATGAAAATCATGTGTTTTAGTATCATACCTCTATTTTGCTAAAAAAATAACTTCTTCAAGTATTATTTTATTAATTGCCACCCACTATTTTCAACACCCCAAACAGTTAAATTTTGGTCGCGAACAGGAAAATTTTATTACATAATCTGAAAGCTGAAACCTTAAATTTTACAGGAAAAATACTCCAACTGCTGGGAAAAATTTGTTAAGAAAGTATTAGATCATTATGCATGTTATGTAAAGCCTTTATTATAGCATTTTTTTCAACAAATTTAGAATTTACAGATGAATGGTGGCATCAATCAAAGGCATAAACCTTGCTACTTCTTTTTTTTTCAATTTTACTAATAATAAGATACAATCTAAACCGGTATGTTTAAAATTTTGGTAATTTGCTACTTAAATGACTTGAATGAGTGATTCAAAAATCACTTATTTCAATAATTCCCCTTAATGTTTATGGCATCTTCAATGTTTTAGGACATTTTTCTCTAGTCTTTACCCATTATGTTCTTTTTTTTAATATTAGCACCTCATTATTTTCCATTCTCTAGCCCATTTTTATACCACCGCAAAAAGTCGTATATTGGTATGACGTTGGCGCCGTCTTATCGTCCGAAGACACATTGGTTTTCGCACAATAACTTTAGTTTAAGTGAATGGATCTCTATGACATTTTACCATAAGGTTCAATACCACAAAAGGAAGGTTGGGATTGATTTTGGGGGTTATGGTATAAAAGGGGCCAAAAATAAGCATTTTTGTCGAGCCTTCGACTTTAGTCGAAAAAGCGTGATGTAGCGATCCTACATTCCGTCCGTGTTGGAGGCGGCGGAGGCGGCAGCGTCCACAAATATTCACTCTGTGGTTAAAGTTTTTGAAATTTTAATAACTTTCTTAAACTATCCTGGATTTCTACCAAACTTGGACAGAAGCTTGTTTATGATCATAAGATAGTATCCAGAAGTAAATTTTGTAAAAAAATAAATCCATTTTTTCCTTATTTTATTTTTAAATGGACTTAGATTTTCTGCCAGGAAACAACACATTCACTCTGTGGTTAAAGTTTTTAAAATTTAAATAACTTTCTTATACTATTTTGGATTTGTACCAAACTTGGACAGAAGCTTGTTTATGATCAAATGCTAGTATCTAGAAGGAAATTTTGTTTTTTCTTCCAGTTAACATTACATTCAGTCTGCAGTTAAAGTTTTTACACATTTATTAGATTCATAAACTATCCTGGATTTTTACCAAACTTGGACAGAAGCTTCTTACAATCAAAAGATAGTATCAAGTGGAATATTTTTATTGATTTACTTCCTCATTTTTGTTGAGCCTGCGATTAACAGAAAAAGTAGGTGAGACACTGGGTTCCGCGGAACCCTTACGAATTTTTGTAACTTCCAGACAATAACTTGTGTATTAGTGTATGGATCTCTCTGACATTGTACCACAATGTTCCATATCACAAAGGGAATGCTGGGATTGATTTTGGGGGTAATTGTCTCAAAATTTTAGGAATTAGGGGCCAAAAAACAAGCATTTTTCTAGTTTCATGACAATAACTTGTTTGTAAGTGTATGGATCTTTCTGAAATTGTACTACAAGGTTCCATATCACAAAGGAAAAGCTGGAATTGAGTTTGGGGGTAATTGCCCAAAACGTTTAGGAATAAGGGGCCAAAAAGGGGCCAAAAATAAGCATGTTTCTAGTTTCCAGACAATAACTTGTGTTCAAGTGTATGGATCTCTCTGAAATTGTACTGCAAGGTAAATGTACCATACCACAAAGGGAAGGCTGGGATTGATTTTGGGGGTAATTGCCTCAATATTTTAGGAATTAGGGGCCAAAAAGGGGCAAAAATAAGCATTTTTCTAGTTTCAGGTCAATAACTTGTGAGTAAGTGTATGGATCTTTCTGAAATTGTACTACAAGGGAAAGCTGGGTTTGAGTTTGAGGGTAAAACTTGCTCTAAAAGTTTAGGAATTTGGGGCCAACAAGGGGCCAAAAAAACAAGCATTTTTCTAGTTTTCAGACAATAACTTGTGTTCAAGTGTATGGATCTCTCTGAAATTGTACTGCAAGGTACCATACCACAAAGGGAAGGCTGGGATTGAGTTTGGGGGTGATGAATCATAAGGGGGTTGAAAAATTTTGGGGGGGGGATTTTTTTTTTCCTTTTTTTCCTTTTTTTTTCTTTAAAATTTTCCATTTTAAGTTGGTTATTTCTGATTTATATATAAAAGCAAATAATAATGATATGGTTTGAATAGGTAAATTAGAATTTTTTAAGTTCTTAGACCACATTCATTCTGTGTCAGAAACTTATGCTGTGTCAAATATTTAATCACAATCAAAATTCAGAGCTGTATCAAGCTTGAATGTTGTGTCCATACTTGCCCCAACTGTTCAGGATTCGACCTCTGCGGTCGTATCAAGCTGCGCCCAGCGGAGCATTTTATTCTATATTCTTTATATTTTGGCCCATAATCTATTCTCCATTCTGTAAACCCAATTTTTATGCAGAGGCAGATCTACACGATTCAGGTGCACTTATTTAGGAATTATTTTAGGAATGATATAAATAGCAACTTGTTCTTCCCAGAAATTTTTTAAGGGGCAAACAATTGTAACGAGTACCAATTGTTTTTCTTTCAATGAACTATTATTACTCTATATATTTGAAAATTGAATGCTTCTTTTTCATGTTTTTGTAGATTTCGTAAAATCGTTGACCAAGTACATTTTGTATGAAGTGCAGAAGCACTTCATTCTAAAAATGTGCGCACGGTCAACGCTTTTCAACCCTATAAAATTACTAAAAGAAGCATTTGATACTTCTAGTTACATTTTTTTGCTAGGATAATGAAAACACGATTTCTATCAAGTTTTTCTTTTATTTACCTGTGCACTTTATTGTGGAAGCTCGTGTCATCATAAATGTTACATTTCATTTTGAAATGAAGGTTAATTTCAGAATGATGCGAGATTGCTGTTAGCCAATCAAAATAACGTATTATAATGAAACATACATGTAATGTAATTATATAGCTAACAATCAAACAAAATTCTAAATTTATGTAATATTAACATGTGTTATCATAGCAGGGAAACTAAGACTGATAAAGTCACACCTTTTGTTAGGTAGTACACCATGTATACACAAAGCGATTTCTGTCAACTATTATTTTATTCATCTGTAATAGGAGGGGTTCGATTGGATAAGGTTTGCAAGGTTCTTATGATACGGCCTCAAAATATGATGCACTTTAAGCTTGACGAATGCCCAGTGATAGCTCAACTCACTAAACATGCTAAACCCAAACAGGTATGCTGTTGATAACTTGTATTCTATATATTTACTCTGTATTTTTAAAGGTGTTCTCTATTCAGACTTCTATTTTTATCCTGTATGTTTATTTGTACTCTATCTGGAGCTAAAAGAGACTTAATGCTGTTTCAACAATAAACTTTTATTAACAAAATACAACAAGGCAAGCAAATTCAACAAGTGTAAAGTAGTATCAACAAATGTAGACGAAAAATGTATCAAAAGTAAATGGGGAGTATAATTTAGCAATGTAAACTAATATCAAAAATAGAGAGGTATCAAGGAGCAATTTAGACTACAGAAATTTACTCTAAATAAACATGGATCGATCTATAAATTGAGCGTTTAGAACAGACCAGGTTAACTTACCAGCAGAGTGGAAAGCTTCACCATTTCAGACAGGAAACCCGTTATTAGAAAAATTTAAACATAACCCGGTAATCGCAATATATATATGTGAAAGTTTATAAATTAAGGTATGATAAGAAATTTGGAAGTACAACAACTTATTAATAAATTATAACAACTTACTCCTGAATAACTAAAAGATTTCAATTATAGACGATCTTATTATAAATTAAATGCCAAAGATAAAACTGAACATAGGATAAAGTAATTAGTGAAAAGTTAATTAAACATTTGTCATGGAACATAACTCCGTTTTCCTACACATCCTTAAATTTTATATTTTACAATCTGAAATGACCATTACAAAGTATTTTTATTTTTTCTTAGGAACAACATGGACACAAGAGATTGTATATTTGATAAATTCAAACATGGATATAGAAAAAGCCAAAACTGTTTCTATTGACGACAGATTTCCATATTTGGAATACCTCACACCAGGACTTGATGCTATAGCTAATTTACCATCACCCAGACTGATAAAGACACACTTACCATTGAAATTGTTACCTAAAGACATCAACAAAGCTAAGGTAAATAAATGTACTTTAAAACCTGTCTCTAGAGGAAGCTGAAGACTCCCTAAAGAGGGTTTAAATTTTAAACAATGAATATGGATAGCATTGAGCAATGAGCTTTTAAAATCTAGAATCAATACTATAAACATGATAAATAAATGATTCAACTTTTAAAAGGTACAAATGATCTGGAATAGTGATGCAATTCTTGTCATTTTTTGCTAGTTATCATGTTGAAAATCATGAAAATAGAATAAAATCTTGTTCCAATATTAGACAGTTCACATTTGATTTATTTCTGCAATAAAAGCCTTGAAAGGGATATATATATATATATACTCATTATATTAGATTAAAATATTCACAATATGATAAAAACTTTAATACTGAAAACTTTTATACATGTACTGAAAACTCTCCAAAACCTTTCAGTGTATTTTCCTCGTAGACAATCCACTGTGAATGAAAGTAAGTTAGGGGCATACAACTATGAGACAGCAGCCCATCAAAAAAATCAACACATTTTGAGATTAATAGTATAAGGTCTACAACAATAGGCATTCAACAGTACACCAGTTCAGATGTGCTTATTCTTTGCCAGTTATGATTTGAATCAATATATAAATATTGCTGTCAATTGTAATCTGTTGTTAACATGGTTAAGCATCCTTCTTAAAATTCAGTGTTGATTGGAGGAAAGTCTTTTGTAGTCTCTTTTGGATGTACTTCCTTATTCCCAATTTGTCTAGAATGCCTGTTTTATTTAGAAACATGATATAGGCACTTGTCTATTGAATACTGTACATATATATATGCTGACGTCTAAATTTATCTTTGTGTTGTTGTGTAATAATTGGTCTCATTGTCATACACCCAAAATTTCCTTCAATTCATGTCAACATATGAGCTGCGTTGGATAGAAATCGACCTTATGCAAGTGCACGTATAAATATACATGTATAAAACTTTCATTGCTTTTGGAACATATATACGAAATAAAAGATGAATGTTGGTATGTTTTGTAGGGTACTGATATCAACTCAATTTTCAAACAGTTATTGCCTTTTCATAGAAATTTTTTCAACCCGAAATAAGTTATCAGATGTATAAATATTCATTTGCATAAGGTCGATTTCTATCGGACGCAGCTCATATTATAAGATTTGAATATTTTATTAGTTTTAGTGATAAACTAAAAATATTCTTTATATCATATCAAGGTAATGTACATGTATAATTACTGTCCTTTGAGAAGGTAAAAAAGAGGTTTTATTGACCTCTGAAAAACTGATATTTACTGGGGCAAAGGCCGAATTAAATATCAGTTTAAAAAAAAATCAACTAAACCACTTATTTACTGAACCAAATGACTTTCAGGAGTTATGTATATCTGCATTCAACTTACAAAGATGAACTATTACATTTAAGGATGTTTGTTACTCTTGTTTTTGACTTTTTTGTCAGATATTCGGAATCCTCTAGTTTTATCCATGTAGTGCCAATGAAAAAAATGTCCCGCTAAGCCCTACTTTTCTGTTCATAATTTTGATACATATAGTTTGACAAGTCATTTATGAAAATCTTATAAAATCCTTGTTATTTTTTCATAGTTTTTGAAAGAAAAAAGGTGCCAATATTAAATGTACGAAAAATCTAGAGAGAATCGTTTCCCGCCAAATTTTCAATTGATTATATCTCGAAAACAAGGTCACGAACCTTTGATTTTTTTCTGCTTTTTAATTTCTTTTATTTATATACTATCAATTTATAACAGTCATTTAAAAAGCTTGTTATTTTTAAACAGAAGAGAGAACATCCTTAAGAGGACAAACAATCAACACAGTTATATCGATATGCGGGAGAAAACAATATTCATTATATGTATTGACAATTATTTACCAAAACTAATTGCACACCAAATATTTTACCACAAATGTACAGGTAAATGTATGTGACATTTAGCACAGTGAATATTAATTTTCTTCAGGTGAATATGCTGTTTTATTCAAAAGCCAATTCATATATAAGATCATACCAATATGGAATAAATATATTTATGCAATCAAACATGAACATTTTATAATTTGTAGGTGATATATGTAGCCAGAAATCCAAAAGATACAGCCGTATCATACTATCACTTCTGTAAGCTGCTCAAGACTTTCTCAGGAGAGTTTGATTTCTTCCTCAAGTTATTTGTCAATCATAAAGGTATGATCTAGACAAATGTAGATTGTATGTTGATAACAATGCATATTAGAAAAAGGCATATGAGACAATAAATATCCTTACAGAAATACAGTATTCTTTCAGGGCAAGCTTTACTTAGTTATATAACTTAGGTTGTTAGTTCGAACCCCGCTCGTGCGATGCAATTGACTCCAATCTTAATTGACTAGGATTGTCAGTTTTCCTATCGAAGGTCATGGTTTTCTCTGGGCACTCCGGCTTCCTCCAACAATAAAAACTGGCCGCCACGAAATAGCCCAAAAGCGGTGCTTAAAAGTGGTGTCACAGAAAATCAAATCAACTTAGTTATTTACTTGTATTTGCCGTCAGAGCAGGATAGAAAACAAAAAATATTTCGAAACACTTTTGACAAGCACATTGGACCATCTAAATTTGTCATAAAGGTAAAATTCTTGTAAATCTTTTGTAAGATTTCTTCGTAGTAAATGAAAATAGTACAGCATAATATCCATTTTAAACAAGTCCTGGTTCTAGTCAAAAGGGACATAACTCTTGCATATCTTGAATTATACTTTTCTTCATTGCAGTGGGATATGCTCCATGGTGGCAGCATGTACTGGATTTTTGGAATATCAAAGATGATCCAAATGTCTTGTTTATAACTTATGAAGATATGTGTGAGGTAAGGAAAAGATAATCCAAATATTCTGTTTATGACCAAAGTTTCAATTTGTACAACCGTGATATGTTTTCTTGTATTGTCAGCGCAGGAATGATTTTATTTTATAACTGTTACGTATACATATCATGCGTAATGTAAAAATGCATTTATGAAGATACACAATTTCTGGGCAAGACTGTTCCAGAGATGTTTATCATTATCAGCAATCACCACAAGCTATTTAAGTTAATTGTGGTGCTCCTTCACCATTGAATTTTGAGCACCACCCTTGGATTTCAAGCACCACTCTTGATTTTTCTCAGCATAAACTTAAAATTTTGAGATTTTATGAAATAAGTTTGGACAATATTCATGATATTTCTTAATCAGTAAAATTTTGAAAGATTTTATTTAATTTTTAATTTCTTTTTTCCGACAAGGGGGATACCGGTACATACATTTTTGTACATACATGTACATGGTAAATATATATATAGGAGTATTACAAAAGATAGTATGTAAGTTATAAATATTTTTCAATGGTTAAAATGATTATTTTATAAGCTGCACCCTTGAAAATGTTATCTGTGGTGAGACCTTGTGCATCAATATATAATGTATGCTTGTGTGTTTTTCATTATCAGATATAGAAGGCATTATTTAGAAGATGAAAATGTGTTGAATAAACATAGAAAAATTTAGAGGCCATTTTTTAATTCAACTATTGTGGATTCATTTATTTTGGTTGGTACTAATATTCGTGGATTAAGGAAAATTTACATGTTCGTGGATATTTAAATTCGTGGTTTCGCCGAAGTCTACATACAACATGTACAAGCCTATAGGAAATTTGTCATTTGTCAAATTGGTATCCAACGAATAATAATGAATCCACAGTATGTTTTATATTTTCAGGATATGGAAGGCAACATTAGAAAGATTGCAGAGTTTTTGGGCAAAAACTTGTCTGACAAAGATGTCAAATACATTGAACATCATTGTAGCTTTGATAACATGAAGAATAACGCACAAGTCAACTATGAATGGATGAGGCATCTAGGTGTCTGGGATAACAAAGATAAAGACAATTCACATATAAGAAAAGGTATGGACTGTTTGTAACCATGGTAACTACCTTGTTTATTTTACACAAATATTTTCTTTAGGTTACTATACATTTTCTAGCCTATATACCAGGTGCATATCTTATTGTCAACCAGTCTGCTTGAGAAATTGGTCATATTTGATTTAATGAGTTTTATCTCATGTCGTGACATTAACAGTACCAATTTTACTGCACCAGATGCACAATTGGACAATAAATGTTTTTTTTTTCAGTAATGCTTGAGGGCAAAATTTTTGAAATACCAAATATAAAAAAGAAAATGTGGTATGATTGCCAATGAGACAACTCTCCACAAGAGACCAAATGACGCAGAAATTAACAACTATAGGTCACCATACGGCCTTCAACAATGAGCAAAGCCCATACCGCTCAGTCAGCTATAAAAGGCCCCGAAATGACAATGTAAAACAATTCAAATGAGAAAACTAACAGCCTAATTTATGTACAAAAAATGAACAAAAAACAAATGTGTAACACATAAACAAACGACAACCACTGAATTACAGGCTCCTGACTTGGGACAGGCACATACATACAGAATTTCTGCACTAAAATGTACCAGAAAAGTTATAGCATTCATTTATCAGTAAAATAACTTTGAAAACATTATGGAATCGAACAGTTTTTGTAACATCAAGGGCCAAGTAATGGTACATACAAATCCTATATAAAGAACAAATGTCATTTCCTAGTATGTGAGATATTAAAGAATGTGTCACTCTCACACTACATCTAATTGACTTGACAATAATACACAAAAAGGATAACAGGACAGCACGACATCAAAGTCAAAAAGCCCATAAGCCGATTTTGCCCCCCCCCTTTTATTGAGCAGATATGTATTGTAAATGCATATAGTTTCAACAGGTCAAACTCCAAACTGCTGAAACCCTATTTTTGACATTTTTACCTATTATGTCTGTTTGTTTTGTTAATATAATGGAATTTTATGCCACTGTCATACAAGTGAGAGGTTTAGCTAGTTATAAAACCAGGTTTAATCCACCATTTTCTACATAAAAAAAATTCCTGTACCAAGTCAGAAATATGACAGTTGTTATCCATTCGTTTGATGTTTTTGAGCTTTTGATTTTGCCATTTGATTAGCATGATTAGGAACTTTCCGTTTTGAATTTTCCTCGAAGTTTGGTATTTTTGTTATTTTACTTTTTCCTAACATTGCTTAGTTTGGGGACATCCCCTTTTTCAAAATCCTGGATCTGCATCTGTACTGTACTCCTCCGAAAACACAAGACAAACAAAGAATTTAACAAAAAACACATGGTCAGAGATACCACAATTGGGAACAGGTCTGCAATAAGATACATACTGGATTCCACTAATAGTAGGCATTGCAAGAAGTTTATTTTTAGGGACCAGATTTGGTTCTATTTGAAATATTCAAATCATTTTTTTTTATTTCAGGAAAGATTGGTGAATGGAGGCTTTACTTCAACAAAGAAACAAACTATCAGATCAACAGAATGGTGGCTCATAAACTGAATGCTAGTGGACTCACCTTCAAGTATGATAAGGATGGAGCAGAAATAACTGATCAGGGAGATGTTAGTGAGAAACAAACTGCCAAAGATTCAACTTGACATGAGGGTCTGCATAGATAAATTGGGGTCAATCATTTAGACACGCTGGTCCGGCCAGGAAGAGATAAAAATGTCTTAGGTCAAGTGGAATTTAGAATAGTCAGACGAAAGGGCCATTTCCAGCAACTTTTAAAGAATAAATTATTTGTCTAGTTTATTTTGTTTACTATTTACATGATTTACAGAACAAACCATTTAAAATCATTCATTGTCTGCTTTTTTGCCTCTGCAACCAAATGTAGGGGGGGAACCCTTTTACCCCTGCTTGTTCGTCTTTCTGTCCATCAGTATGTCAGTCCCATATAAGGTATATGCAATGGTGAAGCTTCCATTGTAGCAAATGAGGCAGTTGCCTCGGTAAAATACTTCAATAAAATAAAAATTGGATACAGTTGATCTTCACCCTCATATTACTTTCTAAAACTTCAATCTCAAGCAATAAATTACAGTTAGTCAATACTCATTATGAAACTGTCAATATTGTGCTCCCGTATTTGCTTTCCACAATAATCACATAGTTGGAAAGCCCTTGTACTACAGAGTAGGTTGTGCTGCCTGCCACAAAATTCACATCATGGGAGACTTAGGGATTACAATCTGGCAGCGGCTGCATAAACTATTTGTAAAAAGCTATATATTTCAGAAGATAGAATACCTGGATGCTTCATATTTTGTATGCAGATACCTTATGTGACGAAGTTTCCGTCTGTCATATATCACCGACCTCGACCTCATTTAATGGATCAGTCATCAAGGTTAAAGTTTGATGGTCAGTCCAAATCTCAGATAATATAAGCAATTGATTAACTATATTTGGTGTATGGAATGATTGTAAGGTGTACATGTCCAACTGACATCTTTCATCTGACCTTGACCTTTATTTCATGGTTTCATGAACAATATTTAGTTTTTGTGGTTTGGTCTATTTCTCTGGTACTATAAGCAATAGGGTCACTATATTTGGTGATTTCAAATCTCATTCATCTGACCTTGACCTGATTTTGAAATAAGCAGGCTAGACATTTCAGAATGTGCACACTGTAAAAATTCATCAGGGTAAAACTGACAATTTGTTAAATCTGTCGTCATTCAAAGTCGGCAAACATTTTAAATGGATTATCCAGCGCATGTGAGCTTTCCCTAGTCTCAGTCGATCTGTTGATTTCATTTTTCGGTTTTAATTCAACTTGTGAAGAAATGTTCTTTGTGCAGAGAGTTTTTAAAGAAGCCAAAGCCATTTCCACAAGTAAAAAATGACAGAGCTTGTTTATCACATTTATTTTCTATAAATTTTCCACAAATGAAATGTTGTTGAACTTTTTCATTATTTGGTAATATAAGGTATGCAGGGTACGTGGTTTCTCATACTTACTCCCCCTGCAGTTTTCAAACTAAATATAAAATTAAGAAGATGTGGTATGATTGCCAATGAGACAACTCTTCAAATGACACAGAAAATAACAACTATACGTCACCGTATGGCCTTTAACAATGAGCAAAACCCATAACACATAGTCAGCTATAAAAGGCCCCGAAATGACAAATGTAAAACAATTCAAACGAGAAAACTAATGGCCTAATTTATGTACAAAATAATGAACTAAAAACAATTATCATACACAGCAACAAACACCAACAACTAAATTACAGGCTCCTGACTTGGGACAGGCACATACAGAATGTGGTGGCGGGTTTAACTAGTTTGAAGGCACCAATCCTCCTCTAACATAGGACAGTGGTGTAACAGTACAACATAAGAACAAACATAATAGCTGAGTATGCGGTATGGGCTTTCCTCATTGTTGAAAGCCTTACGGTGACCTATAGTTGTTAATTTCTCTTGTAGAGTTGTCTCATTGGCAATCATACCAAATCTTCGTATTTTTATATTTAGTTTGAAAACTGCAGGGGGAGTAAGTATGAGAAACATTTATATTAAGCAATATATCAATACATATATTAAGGGATGTGCGTATTATCAGAATATGATTTCTTAAAATTTTCCTCAAATGACAATGTTTAACCTTTTTTCCAGAAGGGGTATCAAATGTGTCCCTCAAACACAACTATTTTAAGTTGTACTTCAACATCACTGTTTAATAAATCCAGTGTTTTTTGCACAAAATACATGCATGCATCATCTTTCTCTCGTATATATTAAATGAACCCCTTTTTGGACCCTTAATATTTCTTGTTTAGTGTGAAATACAAATTTTACATGGCAGCCAGCAATATTTCTAAGACAAAAATCAATTTCGGTGTCTGGAGTAATTGAAAAAAGTTTTATATTACAACGTCTGAAAGATTCAATGCCTTCAAAAGGGGAGAAGATGGCAGAGGTCAAACAAAACCATGTTGAAAAACAGACATCACCATGCATGACTAAAACGTGTAAAAGAGAAAAGATAAACAACAGTCCACAAAACACTACATAGAGACCAAAGCACATTCTGTATTGTTTACATCATTATTTATAAAAAAAGCTATAAAAGGCCCCGAATTGACACATATAAAACAATTCAACCGAGAAAACTAACGGCCTGATTTATGTACAAAACAAATATTAAGACAGATTTAAATGAGATCTTCTGATAAGCCTCTCTTTCCTCTTTAAAGACCATATTGAATTTTTGATGAAATTCAAAAATATCAATGGTTGTTAACAACCTGTACAGGAACATATCTTGGCAGTTTAACTGCAATTAGTTCATTAGTTTTTGAGTAGTAGACACTGAAAACTGGACAAATTGATAAAATTGAGAATGGAAATGGGGAATGTGTCAAAGAGACAACAACCCGACCATAGAGCAGACAACAGCCGAAGTCCACCAATGGGTCTTCAATGCAGCGAGAAACTCCCGCACCCGGAGGCGTCCTTCAGCTGGCCGCTAAACAAATATGTATACTAGTTCAGTGATAATGGAAATCATACTAAACTCCAAATTATACACAAGAAACTAAAATTAAAAATGATACAAGACTAACAAAGGCCAGAGGCTCCTGACTTGGGACAGGCGCAAAAATGCGGCGGGGTTTAACATGTTTTTGGAGATCTCAATCCTCCCCCTATACCTCTAGCCAATGTAGAAAAAAACAAACGTACAACAGTACGCACAGTAAAACTCAATTTAAGAGACGTCCAAGTCCGATGTTAGAATAGGAAACAAAAGAAAATAAACAAAATGACAATAATACATATATAACAACAGACTATTAGCAGTTACTGACATGCCAGCTCCAGACCTCAATTAAACTGATTGAAAGATTATTTCTTCATCATATGAATATCAGGCACAATCCCTCCTTTAGGGGTTTAGTATTATACCATCATAAAATATATGAGAAGAACATAACCCGTGTCATACCAACAACTGGTTTTAGAATAAATATGTTTAATTCCGATGCAAAGACCCTATAAGTGAATCAATATTAAAGCCAAAATATGCAATCTTTAATGACCTGACAACAGTATCGTAACTATATCCCTTCTTAATAAGTCTGTTTAAAGGTTTTGTTAGCTTTTAAGGTGAGTACTGACATTTTTGTGCTTTGTAAAGAATATTACCATAAAAGGTTGGATGTGAAATACCCGAACGTATAAGATGTCTGCATGTTGAGTTATATTTACGAATGATGTCCTTATACCGATGATAAAATTTAGTAAATGTTTTGACTAGTTTATGATACCGAAAACTCTGGTGTAATAATTTTTCAGTAATACATAAATTTCTCTCGCTAAAATCTAATACATTGTTACATACACGAGCGAATCGTACAAGTTGAGATATATAAACACCATAAGATGGTGACAAGGGAACGTCACCATCTAAAAATGGATAATTAACGATAGGAAATGAAAAATCATCTCTTTTATCATAAACTTTTGTATTAAGCTTCCCGTTAATGATATAGATATAAAGATCGAGGAAAGGACAGTGGTGATTGTTAGTATTAGCTTTATTTAAAGTAAGTTCAATAGGATAAATTTCTTTAGTATACATACTGAAGTCGTCATTATTGAGAGCCAATATATCATCCAAATATCTAAAAGTATTGTTAAATTTTTGTATCAGATGTTGTTTCGATGGGTCTTTGCTGATTTTAGTCATAAATTGTAACTCATAACAATACAAAAACAGGTCCGCAATAAGTGGTGCACAGTTAGTCCCCATTGGAATTCCGATAACTTGAAGATATACGGAATCTCCAAAGCGAACAAAAATGTTATCAAGTAAAAATTCAAGGGCAGATATAGTATCAAAGCATGTCCAATTGACATAGCTCTTTTGTTTGTTGCTACTAAAAAATGACCTAAAAGAGTTTGAACATATGTATTCGCATTCCGACTTTTTAAATGCCCATTTAATTAGGTGTGTGAATTTTTTCTTAATAAGAATATGAGGCAAAGTGGTATATAGGGTAGAAAAATCAAAACTTTGAACAGATTCAAAATCACCAATATATGCATGCAATTTATCAAGTACTTCCAACGAGTTTTTGACACTCCAAAAGAAGTTAATTCCACTATTTTCAAAGGCCTTATTTGAACAATTTATTATCAGGTTTTTGATTGTACCAAGTGTACTAGTAAGTAGAATAGACAATTTAGTAGTGGAACAATGACTTGAAGACGAAATAAATCTATATTTGTAAGGTGATTTGTGTAGCTTCGGAAGCCAGTACATAGTTGGGACTTTCATTGTATTTGGTTCTGCTTGTAAAGAAGTAGCTAATAGTTTATGTTTGTTACAGATATCGTTTTCTGAAAATGAAGTCAGTTGGAATGTTGGTGAATTCGTGATTTCCTTTTGCAGAACCTCAATGTAAAATTTACGTCAAACTATAATGATATTATTAGCAGCTTTATCAGCCGGGACAAAAACAAATTCCTTGGCTAGTTCTTTTAGTTTATGTTTGATACGAGAAATAGGATTTTAATGGTTGTTGTTAAGAGTAAACCCGTTTTGTTTTGCACTTTGAAGCGATATTGGGTCAAAGTTAATAAGACTAGGAAGTCCTTATTGAAAAACATTTTACAAGCTCGTTTTCAAGAAAAGCAGATTGTAATGTTTCATAGGATTTCAATGTAAATTTTGAACAATACTTGTTTAGGACCTTAACATGACCATATCTAAATTATCTAATTTTGAGCTTACA